CAACCAAGCACACTCACATTCACACCTATGGACAATTTAGAACCACCAATTAACCTCAACATGTTTTTGGACTGTGGGAGGAAGCCGGAGAACCTGGAGAGAACCCACACTGCACGGGGAGAACTTGCAAACTCCACGCAGAAATAGCTCAGGTGTCCTCACCAGGACATGAACTGGGGATCTTCTAGCTGTGAGGCCATTGTACTAACTACTGAGCCACCTTACAGCCCATAGCTGAACTCTGAATCAATAAAGCAGCATAATTATGAACTGCATGGGACTCCTCAGGAGGTGGATGGCTGTTGCAGATCACCTGTATACAGATAGAATTAGGAGACAGAGACGTTTCAGTTGATGTTATTTGGGCAGGATGTGTTGAGCTTTGCACAAACAATAAAGGTTACAGGAAGCTGCTCATAAAAAACACATCAATAATCAATCATTCTGCGTGTGTGGTCACTGAGAAATTAGTTTTCTTAGTTATTTCTTTTCAACCAAGAAGAATTAATCATTGTATTATCATCTATGATAAATGGAATCACACTTTCCATGTGGGAACTATATGAATATAATCAAAGAATAATGCGACAGTGGAAAGAGCTGTGGATGTGTGTGCTGGTGAAGTTATGGTTGTGCGTGTGTGTGTGTGTGTGTGTGTGTGTGTGTGTGTGTGTGTGTGTGTGTGGTGTGTGTGTGTGTGTGTGTGTGAGCTGTACGTCCTGTGGGAACGAGGGGTTGAGTGGTGTGAGGTCCGAGGCGTCGTAGCGACGGACGGGTGGCGAGCACCGTCTAACTGAGAATAATACACCACTTCCTCCCATTCTCTTTCTCCACACACACACACACACACACACACACACACACACACACAGCCTCCAGTCATGTTCTCTTGTTCCAGAAGGATTTCCGACTCGCGGCCCGGCGCTGCGGCCCAGCGTTCCCTGAGATATTAGCCTCCACACACACAGATATTCCTCCCTCGACACTCAGTGTTTCCTGCTATAGGATGGCCCTGCTTGTCCTGCATGACCCCTGACACCAATAAACCTCTGATATCGCCAACACAGACACACACACACAGAAACAGCCGCTTCTCACTCTGCAGCAATGCTCCATTTCATGAATATCAGAAGCTCTGGTCAGATATTCATGTGTTCTTGACTTGAGAAGAACTTTATCTCAGATGCAGACGTCATCAAGCTGTGAGCTGTGAAGCAGAGCTACTGGACGAGGTGAGAGGAAGTTAGCGCTTTTAGATTGACACCAAGATGGTCAACAGTTTATCCCAAAAGTCTGGGGGCTATTTTCAGAGTTTTCACCTGGAAAAACATCCTCAGACTCAGCAAGTAACAGCTCCACAACTCTGGCTCTCTGGAGACATTTGGGGAATTTTTAAAAACAATCTCAACTAAAAGTTTTACTGCCAACTACTAAAACTGTAAATCAGAAATTAATACAAGCCTAAAAATAAAAAGTCAGTGATGTTGTAAAATCTATTCTGAAACTTCTTATCTCTTCCAAATCTGATGTAACAGAAATGAAGCACAACAGTTTCATCACAGTGGCACCAGGAGGCCGCTTCATTTAAACAGCCATGTGATATAATAAAAGATTTAGTCAGGTATGCTAGTGTAGTAGTGTCCTTATCCTCTCCGGGGTGGAGAGGATAAGGAGCAAACTAAAGGGAATAATACTGCATCGTTGCTCTATACATCACAACCTTAGAAACCAGCAGGTACCAGTTGTGTCTCACTGTGTGGCGCTCGTCACTGAACATTGACAGAAAGTGAAAACCCGTGGATGCAGGTACATAGAAGGTGCGAAACAGAGAAAAAGACTTTTGTAGCTGCTAAATGTGCTAAGATATGAAGAATTTATTTACACAGTCTGCAGGTGATGATGAGGACAGAGGTGAGGAAAGAGCAGCGAAATGAAGCAATTGTAAAACATTTTTTCAATGATGGTTCACTTACAAAGGGTTTGATTTGTTTAGAATTAATTTAGAGGTTTATGTTAAATTTGACTTGTGTGTTTTTTTTAAAATGGCCGTCAACTTTGACAGTAAGTGTACTAAAAAAAGTCTATTCATGAATTCTTTTTTGCATTATGGCCTTAAAGACATAAAGTATGTCATAGCTAGTCAAGCTATAAAATTATCTGGAACAGGTATACGTGGTTCTGAAGGTGAAAGATGGAGGTGGAGGAGAGGTTCCAATGACAGTTTCACTATTATAGAGGACAATACAGTATTTATATGACCAGGCTGGAATACATTCAATTCATTTATTGTTGCATTACAGCAACTATATGGCAAGAATGTGTCGGCAGATCAGGTGTCAGGGAACGATTTGTTTAATTTAGCTTTGAATTTTTGGCTTCTGTTCCCACAAACATTGAGAGGTAAACTTTGGGAAATTAGTTTCATTGTTTTCCATTTCAGCCTAAAGACAGCAAATCCACAAGCTGCTGTTAGTTGCCTGATAACTCTGGTGTACGCTGACAAATCGACACAACGGTTATATGGCAGGTGGAGTTTATTAGTTTACATTTAAAGTTCTCTATCTGGTGAAAAGTATTATTACAACATCCTCATTTCTTTTTGCCTGTCTTCACTTCTTTTCTTTTCTTTCTGCCTTCATGTTTTCCCTCTTTCTGTCTTTCTTCCTTTCCTTCATTAACTGATCTGACCACATTAGAGTCCCGCACAGATTTCAACCAGCAGCAGAGACGGCGGCGGATTTGCTGCTTTCCCTTCATTAAAGCTTCCAGTGCTCACCGTGTGGACAGACTCGCTGTTGTGTTACAGCAATCCTGTGAGATAAAGAGACTCTGGTATATTTTAGTGACCGGGACAGAAAGAGGAGGAGGAGCTCAGCCAATGAGAGGGTGCTGACACGTCTATCTGAAGCTATCAGCTGGAAGAAAGCGCAGATAAATGGTGGGAAGGTGTTTATGTCTGTCTTTGTAAGGACCAGTTTGAGTCCATGTGAGGAAGTTCTGGTGGTTCGTCTGTGTGGGGCAGACTTTAAGAGGGGCTGACAGAGGGTTCACGCTTAGGTTTAGGGTTCAGGTTTAGGTTCAGGATCAGGGGCCTGGGAGTGGAGTGTGAGTGGCAGTCCCCACAAAGATAGGTACAAATGTATGTGTGTGAGTAGGTACGCTATAATTCCTGCATCAAATCCTTGTTGTATTGCTAAAAGATTAGCAGGTGTGAAAAGACAGAAGCCTGTGTGTGTGTGTGTGTGTGTGTGTGTGTGTGTGTGTGTGTGTGTCTGGCCTCTCTCACACGATGATTGGGTTTCAGCGAACACAGCCAGGAGCTGTGGGAACGTCTGACACACACACACACACACATCGGGAGCTTTCAGACATGTAATACGTAACATTTCTGGCTTCATCGGTCCGTTAAAGTGTCATCCAGACACAGCATGGAAGGATTACTGATGGGGAGCCTCGGTATGGAGCGATGGTTGGAAGTGTTGGAGAGTGAAGCAACGACAGAGAGACGTGACACAAGCACGGACACACAAACTGAAAAACATACATCAGATAGACGCAAAACCATCGCAAAAAGTCAGTAAACCTTTACAAAGAGACCTATAACACCACACAGAGAAGAAAAAAAAGATATAAAACCACAACAAAGAGGAACAAACACCACATAGACACAAAATCAACACAAAGACGCACAAAGAGACAAAACACAACCACGAAATCTAACCAAAAAAAACACAAAAAGATGCAAGACTACGACAGA